AGCCCTGAACTTTTATTCGGTGTTACAGTTTCTTGCAGCAAGAAACAAATCACAGACAGTTACTCTGGGAGATCTGCCTACAATTATGACCCAACTGAAGGCCTTTAGTAATGTGTTCAGCGAGGGGGAAATTAAAGCCATATTGTCTGAGTCATCTTCTGACTTGAAGGAAGAAATTGATTTCGAATCCTTTCTTCGGGTGAGTATGAGGTTCTCTCTTAGTACAAGTAGTCAATAATAGATCCTTAATAGGCTTTCTTGTATTCATGTCATTTTCATCAAGTGAACTCTCTATTGTGTTGTTCATGAGGCCCCAAAGGGCTGATTCGTTTTTGGATAGGCATTTCTGAATCTTCAGGCAAGGGCTCCAACTACATCAGGCAATTCTAAACTTAAAACCACCACCTCTTTTCTCAAAGCTACCACAACAACACTTAGACATATCATTAGTGAATCAGAGAAGGCCTCTTATGTGGCACACATCAATGGTTTTCTGGGAAATGATAAATTCTTGAAAGATTATCTTCCATTAGATCCATCAACCAATGCGATGTTTGAACTTGCTAAGGATGGCGTTCTTCTGTGGTAAGGAAGAATCTCTAGCTTAACATCACTTTACATCCCCTAGCGGCTATTAGCATGCATGATTTTTATTCCTTTCATTTGGTATTGTGCAGTAAGCTCATTAATGTTGCTGTTCCCGGAACAATAGATGAACGAGCCATTAATACGAAGAAGTTTCTTAATCCGTGGGAAAGAAATGAAAATCATACACTTTGCCTCAATTCTGCAAAGGCCATTGGTTGCACAGTGGTCAACATTGGTACACAGGATCTAGTTGAAGGAAGAGTATGTCAAGGCTAATTTTTAACTATTTTGCTAGTACAATCTTGTTATACATCTTCGCCTTCAATATAAAATCTGATGGAATTCTTCACCCTTTCTTTCTTATGGTTGTTATTTACTAGCCGCATCTCATCCTTGGATTGATTTCTCAAATAATCAAGGTATGCTCCCACTCCAAATCATTTGAGAACCGATGAACTACTGAAGTTTAATCAGCTGTCAATGTACTTAATTTTTGTTTCTGATCACCAGATACAACTCTTAGCTGATCTCAATCTGAGGAAAACTCCACAACTTCTGGAGTTGGCAGAGGATAGTCAGGTTGGTAGTCACTGATTGACTTTTCTATGGTTTATTACAAATAATGCATTGCATTGATAACAGGTAGGTATAATTAAAAGTGAAATTTGCAGGACGTGGAAGAGCTCCTCAGCTTATCTCCTGAAAAAGTTTTGCTTAAATGGATGAATTTTCATCTGAAAAAAGTTGGCTACAAGAAGCAGGTCACAAACTTCTCCTCTGATTTGAAGGTGAGGTGTTTCAGTCTAGATGCTTCTAAAGTTATACTGCTTGTATTGAAAACATATAATATTTATATAATAAATATGCACATGTTTCTGGAGTTACTGTGGTGTACCTATATGAAGTCAAAAGTTGATGAAACTGCTGTTTCTGTACCTATATGGGTACATAAAAAGAAAACTTTCAGGTAAGAAATAGAACTGCTTGGAAACCCTTAAATAACCTTAATTCATGAACGGTAATTCTCAAGTCCTCACCAATGAACTTTGAAGTTCAGCAAAATGCATTTATTTACACACATTCCTCGTATAAAACTCTTGTTAACTATGTTGCAGAAATGCTGGAATATATTTATGGGATATACTCCTAATAATCTATTTTATTGGCAGGATGGAGAGGCCTATGCTCACTTGCTTAATGCTCTTGCACCAGAACATGGAACAAGCAGCACACTTGATGCAAAGGATCCTACTCAAAGAGCAAATTTAATTCTTGAGCAAGCAGACAAATTGGATTGTAAAAGATATGTTACGGCAAAGGATATTGTCGAGGGATCAACAAATTTAAATCTTGCATTTGTTGCTCAGATATTCCAACGCAGGTCAGATGATCTTTTTCAAACTAAATCCTTCAAATAACCCTCAAGAGTGAACACTCATTTATCAACCACATAAAAATATAAGATTATAAGAAAAATAAATTTTATTTTATCACTGAACATGACTTTACCTTGTTTATTTAAGTAAGTTCATATGGAGTGAAAATATTCCGCTATATATTGGTCCCCTACATTTTATTTTTTCTACTTTTGGTGCACCTTTTTTTTTCAGTTTTGGTCCCTCCAATCACAAAACTGACCAATTTTCACAGAATCCCCGATTGGTAAGCAAGGACCAAAAGTTGCACAAATCCACATCCGTGCCCCAAACGTGGAACCAAATTAAAACCCGGCTACCAAAGGTTGAAATGACCTAATAATCAAGGGACCAAATTGAAGTACTTTCTTGTGGAATCATATGATTATTTTTCTTTATAACATGGATTGGGTTTATACAAATGGTATCTATGTTCATCTCATTTTAGTACGGAGCATAATACTTGGTTTGGCTTCAATAGTTAATGACAAGATGCACTTGTGGTTTTGTATTGCAGAAATGGATTGTCCGTAGAAAACTCAAAGTTATCTTTTGCCACAATGATGACCGACGATGATCAAACTTCAAGGGATGAAAGATGCTTCCGGTTGTGGATTAACAGTCTTGGAGTTGACACATATGTGGACAACTTATTCGAGGATGTTCGGAATGGGTAACTATGGTTACATGCCTCTTATTGCTGCAAATAAGGAGTAATATTTTAAGTTAGTAACCCTTATAATACACAACACACAGGTGGGTTCTGTTGGAAGTGCTTGACAAAGTTTCGTATGGATCAGTTAACTGGAAGCAAGCCACTAAACCTCCAATCAAGATGCCATTCCGAAAAGTTGAGAACTGCAACCAAGTTATAAGGATTGGAAAGGAATTAAATTTCTCTCTGGTGAGTGTACAAGGAAATGATATTGTACAAGGAAACAAGAAGCTCATATTAGGTAAGCACATTCTCCAGTGGTGAATGAGGAGTTATTTTGCTTAATTATTCTGATTCCTTTCTGGGGGCGATTTTTGCGTTCAGCTTTTCTGTGGCAGTTGATGAGGTTTAGTATGCTCCAACTTTTGAAGAACTTGAGATCTTACTCTCAAGGAAAGGAGATAACCGATACTGACATACTAAGTTGGGCAAACAGAAAAGTGAAGAGTGCAGGCAGGAAAAGGCAAATGGATAGTTTCAAAGTATGTACAAACCTTAAAAATGTGATTTCACACATCACTTTCTATTTAAAGAAAAAAGCACACGACGCCTTATTAATTTCGCTGTGATTTCTGCAGGACAAAAGTCTTTCAGATGGACTATTCTTTCTTGAACTTTTAAGCGTTGTGGAGCCAAGAGTTGTAAACTGGAGCCTCGTCACCAAGGGGATAACAGGTAGAACATCTTTAAACAACAGCTTCATTATTTTCCTATACAAGGCATATATCATATTTTACGGCTTCATAGTTTATTTTTAAACCTGGAACAAACACAGTAAGTGTTACACTTTGGCAGATGAGGATAAGAAGCTAAACGCGACATATATCATCAGTGTTGCTCGGAAAATCGGATGTTCAATTTTTTTGTTGCCTGAGGACATAATGGAGGTAGCTATGATGTTCTATTCGTCGTCTTCTTCATGAATGATTACATTATAAGTGCACACATACATATGCATTTGTGTTTGTTTTCTAAACATAGTTAGAAACGCACTGCTGCTATAAATGTGCCCCCTTTGGAACAGGTGAATCAGAAAATGATTCTGACATTGACAGCAAGTATAATGTACTGGAGCTTAGAGAAGAAAGCAAAGGAGTCCGAGAGCGGTTCATCCTCTCCTATGCGGAACAACAATGAGCAGTCTCCTGCCACAACAACTAAGGAATTATCCTAAACAGAAAGTAAATAAATTCATCTTATAATATTCGCTCAACACATCATATCTTAATGAGTAAGCTACAATCTACATCATTGCTAGAATTTGGCCCAACAAAATTGATTGACAACAAAGAACGCTGCAAAGACCAATGCACTAATTGTATTTCATTAGTGATTCCAGATGCTCTCCAGTCTCCACATGTGAAAAAACCCAGTATTTGAATTCCTCGGAAAACCCTCCCACATCTCCACATGAGTTGGATCACTTAGCCACGCTTCATAATGAGCACCATGAAAACACAGAACATGATAATCCTTTGCTACATATACATATGGTGAACATATATGTGTGTGGGTCAGTGGGTGTATGTTTTCTAATTGCGTCTTTTTTCCCTTCAGAGTTAAAATGCTACTATGTATATTTTATTGGGTTCTCATGTAGATGAGACTCATGAGAGGAAAGATGCTGATATGAATATACTGTAAACATTAATTTTGAGTGATGCCCTAAGACATATAGAAATTGTATTTGGTGTTTTACTTAAATTATGAATGATGGTAAATGATACAATGAATTATATATGAGGGCCAAATATTCACTCACTCACCAGGGGTTGACGACATTATTTGGTTCACCAGTGATATGATACCATTAAAATCATTACAATAGTGTGTTACTGGCCGGCTACATTCATTACATCATCTTGTAAGAACAATAATTCATCATTATATTAACTTTATCTTAAGTATATAAAAAAAACTTAGTTATCAAATACCTAACAATTAAATTAGAACCACACAAAAGTGTTTTACTTTAAATTAGGGGTGAACTCAGTCCGGTACATTAGGACCGGCCTGTTCTGGCCTCTGGGTCACATAATAGGGGTACTGGAAGTCTGGAACCTAAATCACTGGACTCGGAGCGGATCTTTAAAACCATTAGCCTAACTTTTCGAAAACAACAAACAGAGACCAAAACCAGTCTAGTCCTACTTTGGAAGAACCAGAACCTGGTTGGATCAGTTCAGGAACCGGAAATTGAGTCCAGTTTTTGCGAAGAAACAACCAGGACAGGTCCGGGTCCGCACCTACTAAAATAGTCTTTGGGACTTAGGAGCAAAAAATGCTGCCATACTTATCCAACCACTTTGCACAATGCCAGCCCTACTTTATCGATGTGGATAAGATCAATCCTTTATATTTGTTCTACATTTCAGTATACTTTTCAGAGAGATTAACAAGGGTAGGCATACCCATTAAGAATGAATGAATAAATAGAGTAGTAATTATGAACTCACTGTAAAACATTATTTCAAGCCTACAATAGAGAATCAGCTTCAATCCCATTATCATTCAGCACCATTTATCCCATCCTCTCGTGTTCAGACGCCAAATGCATAAGCATCTCAAGACGCTTATCAAAAATCAAAGCACTCTCATCTCTTTTGTCCAGCTCAGCAGCTTCAGCTTCAAGCCACTTCTCTCTCAAATCATCCAGGACATTCGCACCTTCAGCCGCTGTGCTTATCTCAGCTCCCGGTGCACTCGGTGCGGACGTGCGGAGTGTGGAATTCCCAGAAGGTGGTGGCAAGGTCAACAGCATAGCCCTAAACTCCGGCATCTCCGCGAATATCTCAAAGTTACAAGCCATTACATCAAGACAATACTCCCGTATCTTCAGCACTCCATACCTGTTGGATGGGCCGGATTAAAAGAAAAATCAGTTCGACGTGACTCGCCCCAATTTAAACAATTTACCACAGAAATGATTCTCCAAATAATTTATCGCGTATACAAACAGAACATGAAGTTGACATTAAGTCCAAAGTAAAACCAATAGAATGCCAAGTAGTATATATGCGCACACATGCAAGTAGGGCACTCGAAAAGGATGTAGGCATAGCAATAAGAAAAATATGTACTACCTGTAACATAACCCTATAAAAGCCGGTTGCTTTTTAAACATGCTTCAAGTACGAACCCCATAGCAATAAGAATTCATATACGCATCTAAAACCTTAACTTGATTGCAATACATAATTTATAAATTAGGCTTAGGAATAATTTTCAAACCTTAACTTGCTTTTTGCTTGAACATAAGAGAAAGAAACAAATACATACATGTCTGACAAAACCAGCCAACGACATAGGTCAACAGGAGGCACCATTTCCAGATGTGGCAGCAAAGCATCTGCTACTGCACGCTTAAGAGGAAATAACAAGTATCTTGAAGCAGCATCAAACAATTCTTCAGCCTGATTAATCAAATTATATATAAGCACTAATTGTATGAGAAAAAACACACTAATGATGGCTACAGAGTTTAACAGCATACCTGATCTGGATCTATGTCCTTCAAGCCATCTGTATACCTGTTAGTTAAGAGAAAATTGTATTAATTATCATTCCTATAAATACAGACACACAGGAAATAATGTACTATAATTGCAGTATTGAAATTTCATCCCATTAAACCTTTAAAAGAAGGTTATGGCAGAAGGATATCTGGCGTAAAACCTTCTGTGTGCTTTTTTACATGATTGTGTAGTATATACTACTAATTTAAATAACTACTCCCTCCGTCCCATTTAAAGGTTCCCGTACACTATTCTCCGGTCAACGTGCATTGTTCTTAATCTCTTACTTTATATATTGAAAGTTTATGAAATTTAAATTATTTTCTGCAGGTTTTGTAGCGGTTTTAATGTAGTTTCTGAATATGTAAATTTTATTTACTAAAAATAATTCTACTGATGATAGGGATCAATTAACTTTATGGTCAGTCAAACATCGTAAATCGTGTGGGAACCTTAAAGTGGGACGGAGGGAGTATTATTATTGTTATAGCCACTATAAGAGGCTGTCTGGTAAACCCCTTTTTCATCAAACACTAACTTACTACTAACTTATTCATGTGTTGGTATTTGGTAATTAAAAAAATGAGCAAGAGTTATAATATTGGTTGAAGTGGCCAAAACTGACTAAAATGGCATTTCGATCTTTATTTTTTTCATTATTTTATTCAAGAACTATATTTTAAACAGTTTTTAGATAATTCAACCGATTCAGTCACTGCAGCCATTTTAGGCCTAACCAACGGGCTTGAAATTTCATGTCCCCAACCCAAGTAGTTGGTTTACTGTGGTGGGGGAAAATAACAGAGTAACAACTTACATATACTCTATCATTTTCTCAAAAGCTCCACCACTTAAGTCATGTTCCTCGAGACACAATATTGTACTATCAGGTAAGCCATTACTTCCTTCAAGGAAGTCCTTCATGCGAGATAACCTTGCCTTAAAATACTCAGACCTTGAAGCTAAGATCACTTGATGGCACCGAAAAACCTTCCCTTCAACTTTCACACAAACATCTGCAAGATCATCATCTTCAGAATCATCAATCATCCGCTTAGAATTGGAAAGAGATGTTTGGAGTACGCGATGCAATGCAGTTGAGAGACGGTTTTCTTCTGGAAGTGATAGTCCCTGCAAAATAAACCGCTTTTGAGAGTTATCTATATCTCTGACGGCTTTATAGTCAGCATATCTTTGATGAATCTGCTCTTTCTCTAGGAGAATTTGCAATGACTCGCATTTGCAGACTTTGCAAATCCTGACAAGATCTTCCATATCATCTACTGCTATCTCAAGTCTGTCAGAATAAAAGAAGTGGATGAGGCTGTAGAGAGCAGGATATGAGAGCTTTTCCCTTGAGAACCGGATTTCTTTGCGATCCTTCCATTCCGTTTGAAACTTTTTCTTGAAAAAGGGTGACCTTGCACTCAAAATGACTCTATGAGCTTCAATGGGCTTCCCTTGCAAATAAAACACAACATCTGGTGGAAAGTGGGTGGAGCTGAAACCTCCTCCATTACCTGTTAGATAATTTTAGTATGCAATATTTCAAGTGCATTAATTGATCTAATAAGAATGAAATAGTCTGGAACAAACATAATTTACAACAAATTCCAATATTGCAAGGAATTTAGGTTTCATATGGTAATGTTTTTGTTTCCTGGTTTCTATTTTCGTTTCCACTTTTTTCAAATCAGAAACAACAAATTGTGTGATTGTACAGAAGAAAAATAATATTATTTCCTGTTTTGACACCCGTCATAAAACATCTGGATATTATGTAAAGTGGAATACTTTCATAACGAATTATATACTTGGAATATATACACAGAACAGATTTACCAAACACGTTTTTATATAATTTGAATGTCTGAAGACAAAACAAAATAAAAAGAACACAAAATTTCAAAGCATACAGACATGTTTTATACGAATAGAATTTTGGAAAATCAAACAAAAGAAAACAAAACAGAAAATAACAAAACATCCAACTTTACCAAACTAAACCTTGGCTACATGAGTCCTTGAGAGCTTGAGGCAGTGAATATTCAATGAAACTCTCATGAATTTATGCTTTTAGTACACATTCACGTGTTGAAAACTCTCAGACGGAACAACTTTGTGATAAAAGAACCCTCTCAAACCATTTACAGAAAATTCACCCATTTCGTAAAGTCATTCCCCATCTCCAGTTGAGAACACCACTGTGGCACTGAGGTAGCCCGTAGTTTGTCATGCAAACACAAACTTTTTTGTTGGCAAGAAAAATGTAAAAGCAAAACGATAAAGTGTTTTTATAGCTCTTAGATATATGCTCCGTATAAAAGTACCTCTTCTAGTCTCTAGGTGTTATTCCTAGAACATAAAAAGCACATTTAACCTTGATTCTCTTTTATAATTGTCCACTTTAAAATTCATATGTGGAGCAATTTGTTATTCTATTTATTTATTTATACTTTTTTTTTAAAGAACACTTTTGTTATAGTTTCAGCAACTCAGCAAGATAATACCTTTATGATGGACTAGTGGAAATTATAAGCGTTGGTGAAATTACCTGCAATTGAGGAGTCCGAAGCCTCAGATATTTGCTCAGCTGCATATCCGCGAGCATTGGCGGAGCATCCCAAAAAGGTTTCCCTGAGGGCGGCCTGCAGGGGGGCGAGAGGGGGAGGTCGAGCCTCAAAGGCCTTGAGGAGCTTCCGGACATTCAAATTGAGGGCGGCGTAGTGACACCGGTCGCCGTCAAATGTGTGCTCCGAGCAAATGGCGCCGCTTTCCAGGAGCATCCTGGCTGCGTCGAGGTGACCGGTGAGGCAGGCGTAATAGAGTGCGACGGAGTCCCACTGGTCTCTGTCGTTAATGTTGACGCCGGACTCGAGCAGGTAACGGAGGCGGTCGACGTCGCCGGCCCTAGAAGCCTCGAAAACATCTCCGTATGGTACTTTCCTCAGCGGTACTGAAGACTCGAAGTCCTCAAGTTCTGGATCAATGTCGTCCAAATCAGACATGTGTTTTTCATTCAGCACAGCACCTCTCCATTTTCTGCCTTTGTGGTTCTTTATGCTTATTAAACGGGATAAGGGTCAGTTTGGTCCTGGAATTGCAAAAAAGGGGTCAAATAAGTCCTTATATAGAAGATTCTGTCCGGACGTGCCATTTGAGGTGGCTCCCGGTGGAATTTTTTGATGAAATTTTTTGAACATCTTATTCATCAAGTCTAGTTACTCATACCAAATTTCAGATAAAAATTCAATCGGGAAGACATTCAAATGAGTTATTGAAGATAACTGTGCCGTTAAAAGCGTTGTTATCTTCAAGAATTCATTTGAATGTCTTCCCGATTGAATTTTTAGCTGAAATTTGGTATGAGTAAACTAGACTTAATAGATAAGATGCTCAAAAAAATTTATCACAGAATTCCACCGGGAGCCACCTCAAATGGCACGTCCGGACAGAATCTTCTATATAAGGACTTATTTGACGCCTTTTTTGCAACTTCGAGGACCAAACTGGTCTTTACTCAAAACTAAACCAACAAAAAACGGATTTTCGAAAAAACAAACGAGTTGTCGATGTTTAGGCCTTTCGGGTGTTTTTCAAATTTTATGCCTTCATGGGTTTTGACTTTTGATACCATTTAAGACTAATTTAGTATAATCTGATTTTTTTTTTTAACTTGATGGAGGGGAAGATACCCCAGGCCTCAAGAGAGGTCTCTCACAATCACATTTCTAGTCCAGCTACAACCCATTTCGTCCTCTTTCAGTGCACTGCACACTTCACTCGGAGGTTCCTCAAATTCCTTCCACTTCATCATCTGATTTTATAAATATTTGATCATTATGTATTTATTATAACTATCAAAATCTCGTATGATCTGAGTTGTTCTTGATTATAATGAAAAAAGTCCAAATTAAAAACTTTTTAAATATAATTTATTTATCAAGATATGACTAAAGTTAATACTATACTATACGGAGTAGTTTTTTTAGAAAACATTTATTTTAAACACTATACTTAGAAGTTTTTCAAAAAAAAACTTTCAATAGGTTATGGGTATATATTAGGGTTTTAAGCTAATCAAATACGTAGTATATTTGATTCAAAAAAAAACACCTACTATATATAGTTTAATTCATGATTCGAATCCACATTTGTTTGTGTGCTTTCTCCCTCAACTGCATACAACTATTTGAATTCAAAAAACCTCAAATAAAAATATGGGAAAACTGTCAAATAGGTCCTCGAACTTTCATAAAAAAGTCAAATAAGTCCTTATATAGGATGCTTTGTCCGGCCATCGTGATTTGGGACGGTTCGTGGTGGAATTTTTTGATGAAATTTTTTGAGCATCTTATTCATCAAGTCTAGTTTACTCATACCAAATTTCAGCTAAAACTAATTTGAATTAACGCATTCAAATTAATTCTTAAAGATAACCGTGCAGTTAAATGCGCAATTATCATAAAAAAATTAATTTAAATGCATTCCCGATTGAAGTTTTAGCTGAAATTTGTTATGAGTAAACTAGACTTGATGAATAAGATGCTCAAAAAATTTCATCAAAAAATTTCACCGGGAACCTCCCCAAATCGTGACGGCCGGATAGAGCCTCCTATATAAGGTAGACTTGTGTCACTCCCTCTCTCTTGTACCATTGTTAATTGAAACAAAACTTAGATGTAAATGCAAATAGAGAACAAAAAATATTATTTGAATTTAAATCGAAATATCAGTACTTTAGATTTTCTAGCCTAATCTTTGAAATTTTATTATAATAGTTAATTTTTTGTACTATAGTTATTTTATTTATGAATCCCTGAATTATATATATTTGCAAATTAAACCCTATATTTTTATTATTTTGGGACGGAGGGAGTAACCATCAATATTAATCCGTACATTATTAATCCGTATTGTAACTGATGAAAATTTTCAATTGGCTTATGAAAATACTCGTATCATACTCCGTAGCATTTTTAATACTCTCCCCAAAATAAGTTCTCATATTTTTGGGAAATTTTGTGTGAACTTTGATTACCTTTTTTATACTCAACCACAATCATATTTTATATGTGGAATGTTGTAAAATTTTAATAAATTTTTGACATATAGATACATAAATCCTAAATCCAATACTTCCGAACAAAGCAGCTGCCTGAAGTCCTGAACACAGAACAAAGCTCCATTTAGTTTATCCAATATACGGAGTATATTACTCGTAATATATACTCCGTATAATACTCCCTCCGTCCCAAAAAGGTTGGTCATTTCCATTTAAAGTAAGGAATGTGTGGCTAAAGTTAATTCTCCCTCCTCTGCACAAATTTTAACCACACAATTTTTACTTTATTAATTCACGTGCAAGTCAACATTGGCCAATGATTTTGGGACGGAGGGAGTAACCATCAATATCCCCTAAGCACAGAACAAAGCACCAAGATCCCTCGGAAATTTCACATCTTTCAGATTTTCATTTTCTTTTTGACAATTTCATTTTTGAGATCTGAGAAAAGGAAAAGACTTTATTACTCAAAACGTAGTAGATCTCAAGGCATTTCCTCTTCATCTGGGAACAGGGAACTCCTCAACATCCTGGAAGTTGTTCTCCATGCCATAATGTTGCTGTTCTTGAACTGGATTCTTAAACTATCACCAACATTTTAAAAAATTTCAAATAGGCTTTTCCATGAAATCTTTGACATCGTAGTGGTATTTCTCATTTTCTAAGGTCTCGTGTCACTCATCCCTTGCTCTTGAATGCAGTTTGCGCCAGTGCCTTTACCATTGTATTTCAAGTGGCTTACGCCGGCGGTGGAGCTAGTGTGAGTTTCAGTGAATTTGTCTTGCTTGATTCTTGATTGTTGAGGTAGCTATTAGTTGTTACTACGTATTTGTTAAAGTTGCCGGCGGCGGCGGCAGACCCAACGGTGAAGTCCTTTCCCACTGATTGTTCTTTGCTGATGCTGTTGTACCGTTGTACGGGTTGTTATCGTCTTATCAGCATCGGTGGTGAGAGTGAATTATGGGCAGGCTTGGACATAATGGAGAAGAGGGACTTTATCCTACAGATAATTGTATGACGTAATGGACTTTTGCCTGTATTTGATAAAGATGTTTTTGAGCGGGAAATTAGCCAAGAATCTCACTTCTTTTTATATAAAGAAATTATTCTAAATGAGACTAAAACATGGTTAAAACTCCAAAATAGAACCTGAAGTTTTAAATTGCCTAAATGGGACTCCTAATTACATTTTTACCCCAAATCCCCAACCCCCCCTTTTTCCCAATCCGTTTGCATCGATCGTGAGACCTGCGAGTACTTCCTCCCTTGCGACTCAACTGCCATGGACTCAGTTCAACCGCCCTCGATCGCAACTCGACCTGCTATCGCCGCCGCTGCTTGCTCGACGCCGGCCGCCTCCTCTTCATCGATTCTCGCATCGCCCCAACTCCACCAATGACGACCTCTGCAATTTTCCAGTCAAGTCAGGTATGTACTCTTCTTCTTCAAAGAAGAAAATGACATCTTCAAAGAGTAACAATGTCATTTGCATGACACTTTCGAAACAAAAATGACATATTTAAAGTGTCAATTTTTTGAGTAACAATGTCAGTTTCATGACATTTTGTCATCTTGACAAATGCAATGTCATAAAAGTGACAATTTTCTAATTACTTGAAATTTATGTCATTTGAGGTTCCAAATTAATCAAACTTAATAAATAAATAAAAAATTGAAATCTAAAGAAGAAGAAAACAGAGGACCCAAATAAAATTCAAATCCAAAACATCCAAAGAAATAGAGAATAGTGGATCAGAAATTTGAAGAGGATTAGAAGAAGAAGCAGAAGAGGAAGAAGAAGACTTACATGATCGTCAATGAGTGCAGGGTTGCCATCGACGGCGGAACTAGCGATGCGAGGCCACAGTCGATGGGGGGAAGCCTTCCATGGGAGGAAGAGATGTTCGGCGATGAATTGAAGAGTCGGCAGAGTGATGCGATGAATTGCAGTTTTTTTTTTAATTAAGGGCAGTTTTGCCAGATTACCTCTTTTTAGTCCTATTTTGCCAAATAAAACATAGCAGTCTTATTTTTGCAATTCTACCTAGTTTTAGGCCTATTTAGGTAAATCACTCTTTTATATATAGATAGATTTCAGCTACCTCTTTACTATAGTTGATACGAGATTATATATACTACTTGGGCAATGTGTGCGATGATGACGTACCGCCCCCTGGTAAGTTAGAATATCAAGCCATTCACTTGTTGGCCCATCATCATTCACATTTTATGCCTGAATTTGAATTGCCATAGTTTGCACCAAATGCGCTTCGCGCTAAAAACGTGGACTCCCGCCAGTATCTTTGCTGGCTATCCGAACTTGCGCTTCGCCACATCTCTCACGCCCCTATGTTGTTCATACCGTCAAGTGTCGTCTGTTTGTGATTACTAGCCGAGCAAAATGGTTTTGTTCAATCGAACTTTGGTTTGGGTTGGTTTGATTTCACTAAAATAAAATGTTCCACAATATTCTCAAATCAAATGGTTTGGTTTGGTTTGATTTAAGCCAAAAATACGTAAATCAAACTAAACTATTTTTGATATTTATCAGGATATTTATATTTATCTTCAGTGGTCATCTTTAGAATATAAATTATTAGCCTACATATGATAAATACATGTTCATCATATGCTACATTTGACCGGAAAACTTTATATCATCTTAAGTTTTACACATTTGATACAATCATCATGATAAATTTTACACATTTCATAAATCATGTGATCAGTATGAACGATTTTTGGTGATGACAACAAACGTACATTGCATTTATATCAAATTCAATTAAATTACACTACTGAAGATGTTAAGTTTTCGCGGTCCATAGACCCAACACAGTCCCTTGGGTTTTCGTAGAATCTTTTGTGGATTTCATATGTCTTTTATTAAATGGTCCAAGTGAGTATGAAGGCAAGAACAATAATAGAAATGAAAGGACGTAAAGTGGGCCAAGTTTGATTATGGACATAGAACGATTACGACATCCTCACCGAGCCCGAATCCTGGCCCCTTGTTCTACATTGAAATATTACAAAAGAACTAGAGAAACATCCAAGCTATTGAGTGCAAGTTGTTAATCCATTACAATGAACCAAGTGCAAATATTTATACTACAAGAAAGTAGATGTAGGGGTGACATGTTGAGCCTTGTGTGAAGGCCCCAACCACAAAACCATCCATATTTGAGACATTGAATGCACTTTCCGCTAAATCTTGGGTTCCCTCCAATTACCTGAGCTTTCCATCAATGTGGGCAACAACAACAAAGAAAATGTGTAGTGCTAGGATTACTCCAATCGACATCTATCACTCTGTGTGATTCATTTGGATAAAAATATGAAGGCTAAAGGGTCAAATAGATCCTTGGACTAACTTAAAGTGTTCAATTAGCCCCTTATATAGGATGCTCTGTCCAGCCGTCGCCAATTGGGAAGGTTCCCGGTGGATTTTTTTGATGAAATTTTTTGAGAATCTTCTTTATTAAGTCTAGTGTACCATATTAAATTTCAGCTAAAAATTAAATCGGGAAAGCAGTGAAATGATTTTCCGAAATGTATTGTGTTGTTTAAGTGCACAGTTATCTTAACAAAATCATTTGACTGCCTTCCTAGTTGAATTTTAGCTGAAATTTGGTATGAGTAAAGTAGACTTAATGAAGAAGATGTTCAAAAAATTTCATCAAAAAATTCGAGAACCACTCCAATTGACGACGGTCGGACAACACCTCCTAAGACCACTTGGAGTGGTGTAGGATTAGGAGTCTAAAATGCTAAAAGTGGAATTTATTGACTCCTAATTCCTTGTAGTGGTTCACAATATGGGGGAGTAAAAGTGGGTAATAGGATGGAGGGTTTCAAATTTGAAGGGTGGAATGGACTCTCTCAAATTAAATGGAAAAGGAAAAGTAAATTGGGTGGGGGATAGACAGGGCGCTGCGCAACTGAAAGATTCCATCGTAGGGCATAGGGCGGTGCACGGGTCGGGTTCGGGCGGGTCGGGTTTGCGAACCCTAAACCCGTTCGGGTTTTTTAATTTAAATACTAGGCCCGACCCTTTGATATTTCGGATCGGGTATTTCAGATATTTTTAAGTCGGATATTATCGGATATCGGGTCGGGTTTCAGATATTTCGGTTATATTAAAAAAAAAAATTGAATAATTAAAGTGTTTAAATTCCACTTTGACAAAAATTGTACACACTAGTGCACTAAAAATCCAAATTACACAAATAATTTAACACAAATTGCACAAATAATTACATAAATAATTGAACACAAGTATTAATTTAACATATTCAAAGTACAACTACATAATTTAATATACTTCGAATATTTTGGTTATATTAAAACACATTATAATTGGATAATTAATGTGTTGGAATGCCACTTTGACAAAAATTATACACACTAGTGCACTACACATTCAATTTACACAAATAATTTAATACAAATTGCACAATATAATTAGATTAATTACACAAATAATTGGATGCAAGTATTAATTTACCATATTCAAAGTACACACTAACATATATTTCGGATATTCGGGCGGGTCGGGTTGGGATTTTACAAACCCTACCCGCCACCCGATCTAGATCCAATATTAATCGGATTTTCGGTTTCGGGTTTTTCGGGTCGGATATCCACTTCGGTTCGAATAATATCCGAAAAAAATATCGAGTTTTTCGGGTCGGATCAGGTTTTGCTCAGCCCTAGTAGGGCATGCAAGCGAGGATTTAATTCATTACATGACGTCATGATGACGTCATGCTGGTGTCATTGAGCACTTCCAACGGCTCTATCTTGTTTGTAATTAAAAACAATTGGTTGCTCCAACGGCTGAGATGATTTGGGCACTGTTTGAACGAGAAAAAAATTGATCCAACGGCTGAAATTGAAATCCAACGGTTAAAATATTTTATTTTATTTTTCCATTATTTTTAATTAATATTTTGACCGAAAATCCTATATAAACACCTCATTTCTTCTTATTTTAATCACACATCTTTCATCTATCTCATTCTTCATCATATTTTCTTTACTATCTAAATTTTTTGTGATGTCTTCATCAAGAAGAGGTGCTAATTGGAGTGCTATTGAGGATGTTGCTCTATGCAACGCTTGGGTATCCATATCCGAAGATGGTGCCATTGGCATAAATCAATCTGGAGAGAGTTTTTGGGGCCGAATTCACGTATCATTTTCACAAAAATGTAACGTTCCACGGAGTCGGGATTCAATTGAGTCTCGTTTTAAGATCATCAATCACCAATGCTCTTTATGGAAAGGTTGTGTGCGGAAGGCGAACGCAACCCCGACGAGTGGGTCAAACTTAGCCGATTTGGTAACTTATAAATTACTCCATTATTTCATTTTAATTCATAAAGTGAGACCATGTATTTATAATAATATAGTTCTTTGATGGTCACACCAAGTGGAGGATACATCCAAATTATTATGTTTGGATACACCAAGTGGAGAATAGCATCCAATGTGCTATGAAAGAGCACACATAGTAGAAAAGAGAATCCAATGTCATATAATGTGCTATGAAAGGACACAAATAATGGAAAAGAGAATCCAATGTGATTTGAAAAGATACAACAAGTTGATAAGGGAATCCAATGTGTTATGGATAGACACAAAGTTGAGAAGAGAATCCAATGCTCCAATGTGTTTGAAATCACTTAGCAAAAAACGTAAAAAATAATAATGATGAAATTTATTTATTTTTACATCGAAATGTGTCTTTTTTATTTTATAATTAATCTGAGATAAAATAAAAAGGAAAATATTACTTATAATAATTTAATTAATGTTTTACTAGATTGATATGTAAAAAAATGTGCAGAGTGTATTTTATTGACAGTGCTGGAATACAGACAATAGGAGTCAAAACACTGTTTTCACATCGACTTAATCCATTTTTGATCTTTAGACTCTTGCACCACTGGTCTCAGGCTAATTGAATTAGTTAGCCTATTTGACCCGGCAAGAGGACAAATCTGTCGATTAGTTATTTCGGCGGCTGGAGGTCCGGACCTAAAATAAGGCCGTTCTTGTTTCGCCGGCGTCTACGGAATAGTTATTTGTAGCAGTCTGCGACCAGAATTTGCTGAGGAAGACCATCAGCGACGTTTTCAAGCTAGGGTTTCACGAAGCAGAAGACTTATTCCTTGGCTTCCTGCTGCGACATTCTAAACCCTTCTCTCTTCCTTCTTCATCCTTCGTGCAGCGCGGACTCTCTTCCAGTTGAACTTACCACCTCCAATTTTGAATTTTGGAGACATCAGGTTAAGTCCACCATCTCCTTGATTGCCTTAATCAGGCGGACTTTCTATTTTGTAATGGTGACTACTAGTCTGTCTGAATCTGCTTTGTTTATTTTATTTTAATATTCACTAGAAGAAAATAATACTCACGGCCATTTAAAATGAACTGAATATGTAATTATGTAAAGCTTGCACCTTTAACATTAACGATTATCTGCTATGACACATCAAGAGATGGAGGGGCTGATTTTTTAATTTATGGCAATGTATTCTGCTCTTTTTCTTGAATTTTTATTGATGACCTCTTTTTTGTTTTTTTTGCAGGATCCTGGATTAATCACTCCAACAGTCCCCAAGTACAAATTTAGGAATTATCTATAAAGAAGTTAGATGAAAATGGACGTGAAACCACCAAACACTATCCCAAGCTTCATTGACCAAGCAGTGGTATGTGTATAGTACAGTTAAACTTTTTGGTTTCTTAAATATGCATAAGATTATGCGTGTCTGTATCATCACATGGGAAACTTAAGAATTTTTACTGTATTTATTAATAAGGTCCCAGGAGATGTAATCTTGGATCTTTCTTCAATGACTAACCAAACCATAAAGCTTGGAAGCGGCCTTAGACAGGTATACTAAGCGTTCACTGATTATTTTGTTTTTTAGCCAACTTTTTATGTTTTCAAAGTTTTAGTTGTAATTTAACAGTAAACAATTATTGGAATATCAATTCCCTGGATTTTAAATAGTTTCCACCTTTGAGGTGTTTTACCCCCAATAAATCATTGTATTTTGCCAGTGACATCCCCTAAAACTTTCTGCCTATTCTATATCAGATTGGTTAAGTGGTGTACATGTATTGTGCTGTTGATAAATTAGATAAAGATGTAAAGAAATGGAGACCTGGGTTGCATTTGTGCAGAAAATTAGGCGATTTCATTTTGCAGGACTGTGATGCTGTATCTGTTATGAAAGCTGGAATATTGAGATATGCAAAGCCAAACAAATACTGGGTTGAAAGCTCCCATAAAAGAGTGAGTATGCTTCTTTAAATTGGTAGAGCAACAAATGCTGGACTGCTGGGTAATGATTTTATCACCATTTAAGACAGAATTTTTTTAGGCAGCATCGATGAGAGCAGAAAAAACCATACTAAGGCTTATGCAATTATATCCTTCGTAGGTTTAAACCTTATATGGTTGAGACCTGGAAACCTCTTATGCCCATAGGTTCTTTTTTAAGGGTTATGCCTCATATAAGTGAATCTGAAATGGGTTTAGAGAGCCATATATTGGGTGTATCCATATTCAGTATAATTATTAGTCTTTTGTACTATCGTGGATTCACGATATATACCACATCATTTGACACATTATGCTTCTCTTCGATCCAGATTTCTACCAAGGGCCTTCTACCAAAACCTTCAAAGTTTTACACTGTTTTCTGTGTTCGTTTTTTCCTTCACTTCTATTAAAGTCATTATTACTACTTAGATGGTATTTCACTTATAGATATCACTTATGGATATTACACAATTTGTCTGATGAATTGCAATACGGTTTGCAGTATGTTCCCTGTGCAGGGGATTCAGTCCTTGGAATTGTGGTTGACTCTAAAGCTGATGTGAGTAATTGTATCTACATCATGTTTGATATTAAGCATATTGCCATTGGCTTTCCTTCTACTCTTTCTTGAGTTTTTTGCTGGTGATGTTGGATCATTTACTACTTCTGCAGTGGAATTTTTAATGTTCTACAGACTTCTCTTAGTGTCATAAGGGGGTTTATCTAATAAATTATTGTCATCAAGTAAGAGATACTTTTTATCTCTTAGTTTGATAATTGATCTTTTTAAAACTTTTTAACTAATGGTCTTTGAGAATGCATTCTCCCCTTATGATTAGTTGAATGTTGTTCCCCATTCAAATCTATAAAAACCCATTAGAGAGCTTCTTCCGTCTTAATTTATGTCAAGTTTTTTTCCAGAGTTGCAGGCTTTTTCTTTGTTATATCACTTGAATATTAATTTGTTATTTTGTTTGCAACCTTATTTAAACCTTTTTTACTTACTCCCAATTTTACATGTCCTTGCTCTGTTCTTAGTGATTTTTTTGGTCACAGAACTTTCTTGTGGACATTAAAGGGTCAATGTTGGCATATTTGCCAGTGTTAGCATTTGAAGGTGGAACTAGAAGAAACATTCCCAAATTTGAGGTGCATTTTTCCTACATAATCGCATTTTTAAAATGACATAATTGGTTTCAGTGTTAAGCATTATACCAATCTAGCTTTAGTTATCATATATAGACGATTTATGCATTGTTTATACATTTTATTACATACGAATATGAAATAAGGTGATTTTGTACTTCAATGGACAGCACAATGGCGCTCTAGATTTTACCTGCTCAAAGCTTTTTGGGATGGGATCTTAGTTTTCAGAAATTGTAACTTTAGTCCCCTAAGCTATAGGTTAATAGCCGACTCAGCCGTTGACTTCCTGTGGACTAAAATTAAACGGCGAATATTGGAATAGGCCATTTCCCACTTTGTCCCGTTTTTTTCGTTCCTATTTTCTTTCCGAAGGTTTTCTATGGCCTTGTTATAGAAACCAAGAAGAGTTTTGCAGCTCCTTTTTGTGGGAAATGTTTTATATGTGAGATGTATGTGAAATGCCTGGGGGGCTCATCTGATGTACATATTTTTCCTGCATGCCCATAGGGATATGATTGCAATTTGAGTAATATTACTTGTTATACTTAAGCCATCAAGTTCATAATACTCTCTCTATCCCTACATTACTGCTCAATTTACTGAGCCGTCTGAGCATAGAATTCAAGAAAAGGGAAAACTGTATGGTTGAGATTACTTAGAGGAGAGGGAAATATTGTGAACCACATTGTGCTTTGAATGCTTCCCTAAAAAAGAAATGGGCCATAACTTTGGAATGGATGAAAAAGGATAGTATGTATATAATTTAAAAACATGTTGTATAAATATAGTTTCAACTTTCATGAACTAACCAAAAAGAAGTGTTGAATTTAAAAGAATAGTTAATTTGATCATATTTTAAAGATCAACTGCTCAGTATTTAACCACCCTATTAGTAAGCTATAAGATGTGAACGATCATATACTGCATCTATCTATTTGGCAGGTACAGTTGTTTAATCATGTTGGTGTTGTTTTTCTTTAGGAAGGAACTCTGATTTATGCTCGTGTAGTCAAGGCCAACCCCGGGATGAACCCTGAGTTGTCCTGCACAGATGGTGGGCTCATCTTTTTTCTTTCCAGTTTCCACTTAAGGAGTTCTTCCTGTTATTTATACAAGTGGAAGTTTCTGTAAAATTTATTCATGTTAGATTATTTTCTGTAGCTAGTGGAAAGGCTGCAGAGTTTGGTCCCCTTAAAGAGGGGTACATGTTTGAATCATCAACCGGCTTATCACGAATGTGAGATCTTTTTGAATATTATAGTAAATATACGATTCCATTTTCCTTAGAATTTATGACTTTAGCATATTGCTTTTAATAATTAAGATTCCATAATAATAATATTAATTTCTTTACAATTTTTTTCCTTGATTAGACTTTTGAGTACTCCAACATGTCCAGTTCTTGAAGCTCTTGGGAAAAAGCTCTCTTTCGAGATAGCAACTGGTTTGAATGGCCGCGTTTGGGTAATGTGCCTGTCACCTGTGCCCTCCGGCCTGCTGCTACTTGTTTCACTGATTCCTTTTAATAAATGATGTGTATCTATTCTTATTATTAATAGGTAGATGCATCTCCCCCTACTATAACTATCCTCGTCGCAAATGCAATAATGAATTCTGAGTCGCTGAGTCCTGTGCAACAGAAGATTATGGCTGAGAAGCTCCTCCAAAGAGTCCAATAAGTTAACTGTAACAGTAAATTGGTTTGTATGGGTGCTTTTAGAGTCTAATTAATGTTCTGGTCCAATTAGGGATTGCTTTCTTTTATTAACAATTTTGGTAAAACTTTTTAATTCAATGTGTGAAAGAGATTGTTTTTTTTTTGAATTTGCATTAGATTGCAACCATAATGTGAATTCACTCCTTGTATACCAGGCTCCAACCATAATTTTGGAAAACATCTTGTAGGGGGGCTGGAAAGGGCCAACTCCTTGATATCTAACTGGTTAAATATCAATTGTTCGAGCTACGAGTTGGTTTGAATGTACCGTGTTGCAATTCATTACGGAGTATTATTTTTTTTTGAGTTTGAGGCATTTTGGCTTAACAAAAAATTTACACACACAAGACTCGCAGCTCAACAGTATAAAGTTCGAAAGTCCAAAGTCCAAACAGGTGCTAATGAGTAAAATTTGGATCTGGAATTATGAACTTGGAAGAACAGATTTATTCAATACAACTCATTTATCACAAACACACAATTCATGTACTATAGCCTATAAGCTTAGGCTATAGCTGATGATACAGTACAAAGATAGCAATAGTGCCTAATTGAATACCCCATAAAAACACTCCTAAGTCCTAACTAACCAAGCCAACTAGCCAAGCCCTTGGAGACTTGGAGTGTAGCTAGCTGGCTAGCTTGGCTGGGAAGACGAAAAACTTGAAAGCTGCAGGAAGCCAGACACGTGGATCTTATTTATTCAAACAAACAAACACAACACTATTGACCCATTTTAACTTCTGGGTCCAATCACAAAAACACACAAATCTTGATGAGCAAATTCAAAGATCCTGGATATGGATGGTGCTTGTGACAATCTACTCGATCATGAATCATATTTCATTGAAAGTGACACCATCGGAGATTGCCCTCTCCTGATCCAACCAAATGACGGTCCTGAGACACTTTCCGTCAATGAGAAGCTGGAAGGCCTTGTTGATGTCCTCCAGTTTGATCTCATGTGTCACAAACAAGTCCAGCTGAAGTTCCTGCATACATGCATTTGTGTGTGTTCATTTATTTGATCATATGGCAATGAACAACTAGCTAGGAAGAAAATATAAATGTGAATTGGCTAAAATATAAAAGCACAAAATTACATGTACAGCCTTGAACTACAAGAGCTAATCATACAAGTCATTTGATTCCTATAAGGTTGTTTGTACAGTTCAAATATACAGATACAAACTGATGTATAAAATCTTAGACTACTTTTTCTTTTATGTTGAGCTTTTAAGATGGGGTCTTAAGTTTTAATAGTAAGTAGGTATACTAACCTTGTCCAGGTAACGTTTGGTGAGAAGGGGAATATCAAGGTTAGGCTTGAGACCACCATATTGGACACCTATGACACTTTTCCCGCTGTGATCGTTCACTAGGGAGTTGAGGATAAACTTCGAGTCGGGCTTGTCCACTCCTAATATCACCGTCTTCCCCCATCCCTGATCCAAAAATTAAGAAGACAACATTAGAAGATTATTAGTGCTAACATAAAAAACTCAAATTTTCTTTGATTACTAAAGAGACCAACTAGTAATTAACCTTTCTGCAGCAAGCGAATGCTTCTTGTGATAGGGCTGGTAAACCAACACATTCAAAGCAGTAATCAGCACCAAGCCCATCGGTCATCTCAAGGATTACCTAATTTGTACAAACCGAAAAACACACACATTTGTGTACTTGCATGCCAAAAAGTAATTAAAAACTACCAAACTTACACTCATACTATATATTCATTATATGCATCTTACATACCTCGCTTGCAAGTTTGCCTCCAAGTTCCCTTGGGTTGATATAATGTGTGATGCCAACCTTTTTACCTATTTCAGCCTTCTCCGGGTTCAAATCCACGCCTATAATGGTTTTGGCTCCACGAAGTCTTGCTCCCTCAGCAACCTGATGAATAATAAAAAAAAAGTCCACTTATTCAATCAACTAGTACACTCCGTCGAGATATGATCTTTTAGCTAAGTCTTATGTGACATCTTAGTGTGGGTTTACCTGTTGAGAGGAATCCGATACTTTTATGATTATGATATGAATGATTTGAGAGACACATAAGAATGATGATCCCATACAGATGCTCATATTTTCAAGCCTCTATGCCATTTTATTAAATACACTACCTTCCTTTTTTCTGTCTCAAAGTTCTCATCCCTTTTTTACATTTTGGAACAGATTAAGCATAACAAATGCTCTTTTTTGGGTCCCGGAGCAAACCACGTGTGGTGGATCAAATGCTCTAATGAAGGTGTGGATCAACAAAACAATAATAGGAAATTATGTGTTTACCGATAATCCAATAACTCCCAATCCGAAAATAGCAACGGTTGAACCAGCTTCAACATCTGCTGTTTTCCACACAGCACCCACACCTGAATCAAAGAGCAGTTCCACTTTACAATGTTAAGCCATCCCAGTATCCCACATTTCTAAAACTAAAAAACCAACATAGAAGACTTTGCAGTTTTCTTGTATCGCCACGTAGGGATTATAAATTACCAGTTGAGACACCACAGCCAAGGAGGCATGCTCTACTAGGTGGAAGTGCAGGGTCGACTTTGGTAACGTGAGTGATGTCAACCACAGTGTACTCACTGAAACCGGAGGTGTACCCGAAGTGGTAAATCGTCTCCCCTTTGGTGTCTGAAAAGCGGCTGGTGCCATCCCTAATGTAAGGAGAGAGTTCAAATCTGAGTTTGGAGCATTGGTTGCTTTTGATGGAAATACAGTCAGGGCATTCTCCACAGTAAGCCAAGAATGATGGAATCACACTGTCTCCCACCTTCACACCCTCCACTCCCTCCCCAACGCTCTCCACAACCCTTGCATCCATTAAACCAAACCAGGATTAGTTAAGAATGAAGTGAGGCATACATAACAGGATCTTATATGGTAATTAACACTAACTCATCCCAAAAGAGCTCACAATTCAATTGGTGATGCAGGAAATGATGATAAATGATGATGATAATAACACTAATAGCAACAATAACAACTCACCCAACAGTTTCATGCCCAAAGATTCTTGGATAATAGTCTACTTGAGGTGGTTCCTTCAAAATAGACAAAAGAGTGTGTTTTTCAGGTGAATAAATAAGGCTAAAGGGTCAAATAGGCCCTCGAACTAACTTAAAAAGTGCAATTCACCCCTTATATAAGGGTATATAAGAAGTTCTGTCTGGCCGTCACCAATTGGGGTAGTTCCCGGTTGAATTTTTTGATGAACTTTTTTGAACATCTTCTTCATTAAGTCTAATTTACTCATATCAAATTTCAGCAAAAAATTCAATCAAGAAGACAGTCAAATGATTTTTCGAAGATAACTGCGCAATTAAATAGCGCAGTACATTTCAGAAAATCATTTGACTATCTTCCCGGTTGAGTTGTTATCTGAAATTTGGTATGAATAAACTAGACTTAATGAAGAAGATGCTCAAAAAATTTCATCGAAAAATTTCACCAGAAACCGCCCCAATTGACGACGGCCGGAAAGAGCCTCCTATATAAATGGTGAATTGCACTTTTTAAATTAGTTTAAGGGCCTATTTGACCATTTAGCCAATAAATAAATACACAGATTATTACTAGAGAATCTAGAGATTGATCATTCATTGAATCATATACTTGGAGTCTCCAGAAATGGATGTCGCTGAAACAAAGGGCGGAGCATAAGACTCGAACGCGAAGTTCCCGCGCTTTGGGAGGGGCGACTATGATTTCCTCTATCACTAATGGCTCCCCTGCTTTTCTCGCTACTGCAGCTGCGCCCATCCAAAAACATCAAACTTCATCATCATGTAAATACACACCACCCATCATGTAAATACTTGTTTTAAAAGAAGTTTGCCAACTTCTTTTTAAAACAATGAAATGAATGGAGCCATAAGGACAATTAAGTACTTTTAAATGGAGAACTTGCCAAAAAATGTAGCAAAAACTAAAAAACAACCCAAAAGGAAAAGTGTAGTTAACATTTCAAATCGGATGGAGTATCAGTATCACACCAACAATATAATTATATAAAGAATCAGAAAAGATTAAAGAAGTTCAGAAAAATATACTTCGTACTACGTAGGAATAATCAGCTTTTGGTCTTATGGTGTGTTTCGTTTGGTTTGATTTAAGTCATTTAACTAAATTAAGTTTGAATCTGTCTCGACACCAGCAACACGAACCTGGTTACCTTGGGGTTTTCCAGAAGATTTTGGAATTTGGAAATGTTACGTTGCTTAAGAACTTCCCAGGCATGCATGCATGCATGGTAGTAATGAGTTAATGACTAATGTATGTTCCCTTTTTACCAAGCTTTAAATTTGTTCTTATTTTTATAGTTACGATTATTACAATTGAATATTCAAATGATAATACATGACATGTTTATTTTCACCATAAGATTATAGAGATGTTTCAATTTGATATGACCCTTCTGTGCAAGGATGGTTCCATGATTTTAGGTCAAGGAGGACAAAAAAAAATTCACTAGTGTATGGCTCTCCCATTTTTTTTAAATCGTATATACACGGCATTTAAATCCACTACACTCTAAGTTTAATTTACACAATCAGAAAAAAATTGATTTTATAATCAGTGGCGGAGCAAGACATTTAGAGTTAAAGGGGCCGGTTCTTAACAATTTTACATTGCAGGGGCCAAAGTTTAAAATATCAACATACTTTTTACAGATTAAAAGTATTTATACATAATACATACTTAAGAAATTTTTTTCTTGCAGGGGCCGTGGCCACCTCCAACCCCTCCCTGTCTCCACCCCTGTTTATAATTGAAGTGCTCTAGAAAAAAGTATAAGAAAATTCTTGAAATAAGAGTGGATCAAACGTTTTGTAAATCCAAAATGGAGCTGTCATATTTTAATTTCCTAAATCAAAGTAATTACTCCCAAACTTTGAAATACCGCCATGTGTTAAAGGTTTGTAATGCCAAAACATGGTAGTAATCACTCTTATTTCAGAAATATAAGCACGATAGTCATATTTTGGAATTCTGAAATTTTTAAACTCCTATATAGGGCAATTTTTTAAAAAGTATTTAGGATGTTTTCTTTTGGACTGAAATTTGCTGGTCTGGTCTTGTCTGGTATGTTTAAGTCTGGTCTGGTCTGGTCTGGTCTGTTTATGTCTGGTCTGGTCTGAACTGGTCTGGTCTGGTAAACGTCTGGTCTCTGTGTATTTTATAACTACGGAAGTCTGGTCTGGTCTGGTCTGGTCTGTTTAAGTCTGGTCTGGTCTGGTCTGTTTAAGTCTGGTCTGGTCTGGTCTGGGACTGAAAACAGTCTAAAAGAAAACATCCTTACACGTTAAAGCTTTAAAAATGACAAATCAAAGGAAAATTGTTTGATAGTAGAAAAGTAATTCACGGGCCGTTAAGAGATAAAGAGTTTAAACTCCTATTTCAAGATAAAGAGTTTAAGAGATAACACTCACCAAAAACTTTTAAATAACTTGGGGGTTATTTAACTGCATTAATATTATTGAAATAAAGAAGTAATTTTTGAATTACAGTTTTTGACTACCAAAGTCCAAGGGTGTTCGTAAGTCACGGGCCGTTTTCTTAATATTACAATAGTATGTATGAGATTATTTACTTTTAAATAATACTACCTCCGTTCTCTTTTAGTTGCAACATTGGACTTTTTGCACTATTCACATGTTCTACTTTGACTACATTTTATTAATTGATGTATAATAAATTAAATATTTAAAAAATATTGTTACATTCTTCTCATTCTAAATTTTCAAAATATGAATTTTTTTAATTTTTTTACTAATAAGAAATAAAAGATATTAATGGTCAAACCTGTGCATTGGCAAACGTGAAATGTTGACTGTTGCAATTAAAAAAGAACGGAGGAAGTATTATATATTGCTAATTCATATATATGGTGCATATTATATTTTTATTAATGCTAGAATAATAAGTTAAAGTTATTATGTGTGCAAAACTTTTTTGGAAGTTAGGGGTAAGAGAATTATGTGATCTTAATGTCTCATAAACAGTTATATATATTTTGGATTCACTTCACATTATATGAAAACTATTTAACTAGTGTGTTTAGAATTAATATCTAATAAAGTACTAATTATTTAACTAGTGTGTTTAAAAAATCAAGTACTAATTATCTAATAAAGATGAATTGAACTAACATTATAAAACTGGGATTTTTATAGAATAAGTAACAATGAGTTGTTTTATTATTTATTGTCAAAGTAAATAATAAGTATCCTAACTCAATGTACACTAGAGCTATTGTAAACTACATAGGCCTATGCTTCAAAATTCAAATGGCTACGCTTAATATTCATTGAGATTAAAGGAATGTTTGTGATTGCTTCTACTTTTAAAAAATATTTTTTCAAAGTGATTTTGGAGAAAATGTTTAATAGTAAAAGTTGACAGTATTTGAGAAAAAAGTGAAACAGTACTCCGTAAAAGTTTGTAGTATTTGGTAAAATAAGTGTTTATTGTGTAATAAATAAAGTAAAAAGCAGTTTACAACCCTCTCCAATCTGTTTCCAGTTTTTGGATTTTAAGTGATCAATTAATTTATGTACAATCTATCATTTGAAAACACTCATTTGAATTCTTTTAAGTGAAAAGCTGAAAACACTTATTTTTAATTTTTTGCAAACACTACCCAAGAGACGTACAAAAAATTAAGTGTATTGGGATATAATTGCGGCGGAATATGTTTCAGTCGTTAATTAGGCCCTGTTAGGTTGGAGGGTTTCGGAAGGGAGGGGAGGGGAGGGAAGTGAGTGATTTGTGTGTGTTTGGTTGAAGGAAATAGGGGGGAAGGGGAGGAAAATGGAAGGCTTCCAAAATCCCCCACTTCCTCCCATTCTAAACCCCCCAAATCGGGGTATTTCGGAGGAAACGTGTTGATAATCACAAACTATCCATCTCCTACGTGAATGGACAAAACGTTATAGTAAAAAGAAGGTAAAAAATAAAAAGTATTGAAAAAAAAGATTAAAAATTAAAAAATTAAAAAATTAAAAAATTAAAAAATTTATGACTCATGACCTTAGGAGTAAGGAGTAATATTCACAATAGTAGGAGATGTATCTATTTTTTAAATAAGCTATCAAATAAAGGTAAATTAGAAAAATATTTTCATTAAACCTTTCCTCCTATTTCCTCCAACTAAACAATTTTTTTTATCAAAATAATTCCTTTCCCTTCACTTTCCTTCCCTCCTTGATTCTCCCTTTCTCTCCGATCCCCTCCTTTGAACCAAAAAGGCCTTAGTGTAAAAAACAGTGAGTGATTGGTAATTTGGTAGCCAATTAGAGTGACGGATAACCATCTCACACAAATTGTTGACGGATTTTGTGATGAATATACGTACCGTCACGAATCACTCAATCACCGGTGGACGTTTTTGACACAATTATTTTTAGCTAAATTAAACAATACAAATTACAAAACAATTATATACCATAATATTTTAATAAATTAATCTATACTTGTAAGTTTCTACTTTACTTTTTCATATACAAAGTGTGTGTTACAACTTACAAATGGCGTAATTTCTTATCGTAATTTCCTTAAGTTCTTTAATGACGGATATATGATAATATAGTATAATATATATTGAAGTTAATTAATTTGTATTGTACACAATCTGAACAATAGTTTAACGTTATTAGGTTAAAAAATGTCCAAATACTAGCTACGATAGAAACTTATATTTTGCATTAACTTTGGAATGTTAATATTTCAGCAAGATTCTCTATTTAATTTAACTATTAATTTCAAATCTAATAGACAATTATCAAAATTTTATTCCGAGTTGTTCGAGTTTTTGTGCGTCGATCAGATGGATAGGTACAATTCAGGACGTTTCGAACATCTTTTATCATCTTTTGTTCCATTTAAATTGGGCCAGAGACAATTTTGGGCTGTTCATGACATCCCAAACCAACCAGCAAAAATTAAATATAAAATATTCAATTCTGAGTGAAATATTGTATTAGCATTTCTGCCGTATATATGCACCACAAAACTAAGAGTAGTTCTAAAGTCAATAACAATTAATAGCTAACTATCCAATTTAAAAAATTAAAAGCTACAAATTTCCATTAACTTTAGCAAGCAGAGCACAAATATGGAGAAAAAATCAATTTAGATTTTAAAAGAAAGCAAACAATAAAACATTTATTGAAAATGGTTATAATGTGATCTAGTAGTGAGAAACTTAGATATAGATTTGTAAAACTGAAGAGGATCTTAAACTAGCTATCAGATCGTTATGCTAGCTATTGTTTTTTCAATAACTGAGCATTTGGGCTTTAAAGATGAACGGGTGCTATTATTTCTTTGTTGAGCTTGGACTACAATTTGGGCAAATACTGCTAAAAACCTCTATAGCATATAAATGGGATAACATGACAGAACGAGAAAACTTTCTATAGTCCCGGTCTTGTTTCATTTCAAATTGGTGCGTGACATCCACATGACAAGAATATTTGCGTCATAAATGAAATGGGACGAACACGAGAACGATTTCGAGATATTTCAGAATGAGACAATGCAAAACTAGTAACCTAAGCTTGGAGGCTTAAAGTGTATTAATTCTGTACCCACTCTTATACCCACCTTATACTCATCATGTTTGTGAAGTGTTTTTTTTTTTGTCTGTGAATCCGATTCAGACAATATTTTGTTTATGCAAAATATTGTGTATGAACCGGGGTTCACAGACAAAAAAAAACACTTCACAAACATAGATGGGTACAAAAATGGGTATAAGAGTGGGTACAAATATCATTTTTTGTTAATTGTGTGAATTAGAGCAAAACATGTCAAACTTTACTATTAACCGGACCGGCTAATAACATATTGAATATTAGACCCGTCTCTCTAATATTTGTCAACTTGTTTTTGTTATGTCAAAAGTTTTACCACTTGTTACAAATTTGCGACTATATCATTATTCTCCCTTAATTAATTATGCTCATAAACCTATGCCATCTGATTTTTATTTTCTATTTCACGTGTCAATTAACTTGTCAGTTGTCAAAGTTGTAAGAGAGGTGAGGAGTATGTTATACAGGGGCGGAACCAGCCTAGTGCCCGGGGTGCTCGTGCCCCTGCAGTGATTTTTTATATATATAACATATATATACATATATTAATATTTAATTAGTTGAGCCCCTGCAGCCTAATTCCAAAAGCCCTTTACCTTAGCCTTTTCCCTTGTGTCAGCCCAATCCCAAAATTCCTTTCCTGGGGCAGCCCACAACACAACTCCCTGAAAGCCAAAACGCCAAGACCCCAAGTCCCAACTCAAGCGGTCTGCCCCTGCGTAACTAAGTTCAAGCTACAAAGACGGAAACTGAAAGCGAATCAACGTTCAAGGCTTCAAGCTACTGCGTTCAAGCTACAACGTTAGCAAATCACAACAGCGAGTCAGCGAGTAGGAACTAGAAGCCTTTTGGTGGTGATATCATGTATCGATACATGTTAGCCGACCTCAATATCTTTTGGGAGTAAGACTTGGATGTTGTTGTATTGTATTGTATTGTATTTGTTTAATTCAAATAAAATGTTAATTGTTGAATACTTTTACATGTTGAATTCAAATACAGTGTTGAAGTTTTTGGCAATTATGTTGTGATAACTGATAATCTCATTAAAATGTTAATTATATTGTAAATTTATAATTGTGTATTTATTGATTTAGTTAATGTTGTTAATTTGTTATAATGTAATTTATACAATTATACTCATATTATTTCAATTGTAATTGGCCTAGGTTGTTTGACAAAATATTGCTATGTTACGATATTATACACGGGAACCTAAACAGCCAAGCATTGGTGGTTCTTCATCGAATACTTTAGTTTCTTCATCAGATAATGTCATTACTAACAAGGACAATAATGTTAAAAAGGCTTGAATAGAAGTTGAATTGTCTGATGATGATATTGTTGGTGATTTGCGCAACAAGATGGGAGAAGAATACTTGACAGATTGTTTGATGTGTTACATTGAAAAAGATGTATTTGTTAAAATTGAGAATGAAGTCATTATGAAGCGATTTCAGAATATGGCCCCTCGAAGACAAAGATTGCCGCCTCTCAATGAATCTCCTTCATTTGACGCGTCAGGTTCTAATAAAAATTAAGGTACTCTTTAAGTAGTTATTTTATTTAAATTTTATAGTTTGGTTTATTGTGATATTCGTGATGCATATGATTTTTTTAGAGTAGTACGTAGTATATGATTTCTTTGTTATTGTGCCCCTGCGAGTCACGAGTCCTGGTTCCGCCACTGATGTTATACGTAGTATGTACGAGGTAGTATACTACGAGTTCCACACAAATTAAACAATGTTTCAAAGTCCATTCACACTTGTACGTACTGGGTTACTTTCATAATAGTAAAGATCGAAGAGCTTGTCATTTTTTTTAAGAGTTTTTTTAAATGAAAGATCTTTTTTATAATATATAGCATGTGAGAAAAGTATGTACATGGTAATTTTTAACATTAATTGGTCCCAACAACGTAACTTGTATACCAAATACAATTAAATCAAACAGTATGTTTTTTATCAAACAACTATTATTTTTCTTTTAAGATCTTTTCAGTCATTAAAAACTAACAGTTATTAAAAAGATCATATATAAGTATCTTTCAGCTAGTTCCGCCAAACATTCCCTTAGTGTGTTGTACCTGGCTTCCCAATTCCCACATCCTTTTTGATTTCTTAAACTTATAGTCTTATTATCAAAAATATTTAATTTACTTGGGAATCTCATCCCTAAATAAAATTCCCACCCCCTCTAATAGGGATCGGAGTCCTTTCATTGCAAATACCCTTCATCTCAAGCCTAAATCCATGACTTGATCCAGACTTTAAATTTTTTTGAGTCAAACTTAAAAGTGAAATGACTATTGAGTTATGGAAAACATGTGAAATTGTGGGTAATAATGTAATATAATGTAAAAGTGTAGATGTTACTCCGTATATATTGTATCTATAGGATAAATACAATAAAAGGTTGAATACTTGAATGTAAATTGTAGTGTTTATGGTGTGATGGTATTGTGTTTATTAGAGTGTAGATTGTTCATGTCGAAGGTAGATGATGGTCAGGCTCGAATAAAGAAGGTAGATGTTTTATGGTTTAGTAGAGGCTGTGTATCTAGAAGATAGGATAGGGTAAGGTGTTTCTAAAGATGTGATAATCTTTTATTTTGGAGATGAGTCGAACACGTGTACAGATTAGGTTGGGGGAATCGATCAAGCCTATAATGAAAGTATTAAAATTCTGATTTTTGAAGAGGTTATGAAGATAATATCACAAAATCTCAGTCCACTAAAGGCACCAATTATAATGAAAGTATTAAAATTTTGATTTTTGAAGAGGTTATGAAGATAATATCACAATATCTCAGTCCACTAAAGGCACCAATAATACAAAAAAAACATGTTAAAGTATTTGTTTCATACAAGAAAGTTATAAAAAAAACAAAATACTGTATGGTCTATATAAAACTTTGAATTACTCTTATCAGATTGACTTTTTAATATGAAACCTCATCGGTCTTTATAACAAACCATTAGTACAAATCAACTACAAAAAAATCGTAATGGTCACAATTAACATTGAATCTGTGACACAAGAGAAAGAAAGATTAATGTTAAAATACAGCAAATTATAAAGGGCACAACTTATTACAAAAGCCCAATAAATTAAACCCTATATCCAACTTCTCTGCATGGTAACCACAATAACTTTCGGGTCGGTCATCTCCATCACCCAAATTCAAGAAAGCTCCGATCCGATCCATATATCCACAAATCTTCGGAAACCTCCATATACTCAAGGACATCATCATATCTATCACCTTCTTCACCCATATCATCCATCATATCAAACCCCTCACCATTAAAATATATACATAGCAGAAGATAGATAGAATATATATAATAGAATAGATAAGGAAGGAAGAAAAGTGGGATTGTTGTAATAAGGGCTGAGAAGAGATCAAGAAGAAATGTATGAGAAGAGATGATAGATAAAGTTTTTTCTGCATGTCTTTTTTACCTTATTATAGTATATGTGCTCAAAATAATGTTAACATCTTTGATTGAAATGAAACTCGAACCACGTTCTGTTTGGTTGATTAACAGTAATCTTATTACCCCACACAGTAATTGGCAATAGATAAAGAATTATTCACTCTATGAACCACATCGAATTGTAACAAATTGCATGCTTTCAGCTTGGATGGAAGTATAATACGCAGGATGATTTACCTCTGCATCGGATGGGCTTTCCAGCAGTGTTCTGAGCCATTGAAGCTATTTAAGAAAGAATAGAGATTCTCTCTAAGTTGTTAACACTATAATAATAATAATCGAAAAGTGATACACCAAATGGAGTGCAATAGAAATTTGATGAGGTAAGATGGAAAAGAACTATTCTCAAGTATGGTATTTATAGGGGTCAACAGAGTCGAGTGGATCGGGAGTTTCAATCATATGATTGGATACAATTATACAAATAAAATTAAACTGTCCGAATAAAATCGTTAATTTGCGGTCATGAAATCCATGAATATCCAATAGACCAATACCAGAGTATACTTTACCAAAATAAATATGTGTATATGTGCACATATTTTTATACTCCGTATTTGGCTATACTCCCTCCGTCCCGGAAAATTGTTCCCGATTTCTTTTTTGGGCCGTCCCAAAAAATTGTTCCACTTTCTCCTTTTAGAAAGTTTTTTGTGGGTACAATTCATTTACCTTTTTCTTAGTCTTTGTTTGCAAACAATTAATTTAAGTGCTTTTGGTTTTTTTTTTTAAAAAAAGCACTTATTTTACCAAACAATACCAACTTTTACTTTCTCAGTTTTTGTGTAGAATCTACTTTTTACTTTTTCTATTACACAAAAAGCACTTATTTTACCAAACACTACCAACTTTTACTATCAATCACTTTTTCCCAAAAAGTGCTTTTATTTAAGCACAATCACTTACAAACAGAGCCTTACTCAACCACAACCATACATTTCCACTTTATTTCCACTTTTCTTAAACTCCGTTCCAAGTCAATGCGGGAACAATTTTCCAGGACGAAGGGAGTATTTAATAGCCATCAGCATCAAACTTTTCGTAAAAAAGTAAATTCCAATGAAATGGCCTTTAATATGCACAAATTATTAGTTACATGATCATTTCTGTAAGTTAGTAAAATTACAAGATTAGTAACATGTCTAATTAAAAGTTATATAGAACTGAATCTATTCTACTGTAGCAATGCATTTACTTAAAATAATAAAATAAATGTAGTAGATACCAATATGGCTTTTATACTTTGGTCAATTTAGTAACTTTAATGAAAATATTTATATTTAATTTTACACTTTTGTGACACCAGCGATCTATGTTGTGGATCCGTTTCTGTCTTGCCGGATTCGGCTCAGGTCGCCGGAGATCGGTTTCCGGTAGTCTCCTTGTGCACACCAAGGCTAAGGGAGCAACAACCTATTCTACCTTCTCAACACTACTCTTACTCAGCTTCACAGAGAGCTGGTTTCTCATTTTCTCACCACACTTCTCAAAGGTCTAAAGATAGATAGATATATACAACACACCGATAGAGGAAAGGGAAGAAGGTGCTGCCTCTCAAAACAATTGCACATGCTAGGAAGTCAACATCGAATAGAGGAGTTTGGCTTATTAGCTAGAGGAGTATGGGTTGACATGGGTTGGCAGATATGCAGGGACACTCAATCACACACATCACATTATTTGCTCAAATAATGAATCTGGACAGATTCAAATTAGGAGAAATAACCCAAGTCTGGTAACTGGAGTAAAAGTAGTGGGTTGCTGAATAGGTTGTCAACTATTATTAATATACAAAGGCTATTTGGGCCAATAATATATTAACAATCTCCACCTTTGGCCCAAGGTAGTGCACTGAGACAATTCACGGAACCGCGGACTCATCATCGCCGAATTATTACAAGTATTATCGCAAAGATTATACAAGTAATATAAGAGAATACCCCATGTATTCTCGGATCACAAAGGGGCCAACGCACCAAGTTTGCCGAGTCCATAAAGGACTTTACTCTACCATAATGGTCATCGAGTTCGAAGGGACACCAACACCAAACTATTAACAAACACTAGGTAAGTTAATAGTAAACCGATGCAACACAGAAAAAATTCATCCAAAATCAAAATTTAAAATCTTTTGACACGAAACAAATTTTTCAACAGGTAAACATTTAGTACCCATGTCAGCAGGATTAAATTCTGAAGGAATTTTCTCTAATTTTATAATTCCCTTTTCAACAATATCTCGAATATAATGAAATCTAACATCAATATGCTTAGTCCTATCATGGAAAACAGGATTTTTACACAATTGAATAGCAGATTGACTGTCAGAAAATATAACCACATTTTTGTCAAGAAAATTAATTTCATGCAAAAGACCTCTAAGCCAAATAGCTTCTTTGAAAGCTTCTGTGGCAGCTACATACTCAGACTCAGTAGTAGATAGAGCAACAATAGGTTGAAGTTGGGATTTCCAACTTACACAAGAGCCACACAAAGTAAACACATAAGAAGTTGTAGACTTTCTATTATCTCTATCATTAGCATAATTGGAATCAACATAGCCAATTAATTTAACACCTTCAGAGCACTTAGAAAAAGTCAAACCAACATCCACAGAATATTTCAAATACCTTAAAAGCCATTTCAAAGCATTCCAATGAGGCATTCCAGGATTAGACATGTATCTACTCAAACAACTAACCGCATATGCAATGTCGGGCCTAGTACTAACCATGAGATACATGACAGATCCTATAGCATTCGAATAAGGCACATTTTTCATTTCATTCATTTCAGTTTCAGTCTTGGGGGACTGATCCTTACTTAACACAAAATGAGAAGCAAGAGGCACATTCACAGATTTAGCATCAGACATAGAAAATTTACTCAAAACCTTATCAATGTATGATCTTTGATTTAACACTAGAGTAGATTTCTTTCTATCCCTGATAATGCTTATGCCTAAAATTTTCCTAGCATCACCTAAGTCTTTCATGTCAAAGTTTTCACAAAGAGATTTTTGGACATGCTCAATAGACTTCAAACAAGGACTAACAATTAACATGTCGTCCACATAGAGTAATAAAAATATAGGCGCGGAGTCAATATTTTTATAATACAAACAATGATCGGCGGAGCTCTTAGAAAATTTTAAAGATTGCATGCACTTGTCAAATTTAATATTCCATTGCCTAGGTGATTGTTTTAAACCATACAAAGCTTTTTTCAACAAACACACGTGGTCAGGCAATTTAGGGTCAACAAAACCCTCAGGTTGGTGCATATAAATATTCTTATCAAGATCACCATGCAAAAAAGCAGTAGTTACATCCATCTGTTTTAATTCCCAATTAAAATGAGCAACTAAAGCAAGTATAATTCTAATGGTGGTGAACTTGACAACAGGAGCAAAAATTTCAGCATAATCAATTCCCTCCTTTTGAGTAAATCCCTTAGCTACTAATCTAGCTTTAAACCTCACATTTTCAGATTCTTGCTTAACCTTAAATAGCCACTTACAATCCACTAAGGAACAATTAGCGGGTCTAGGAACAAGTTTCCAAGTTTGGTTAATTTTAAGGGATTCCATTTCACTATTCATAGCACTAATCCACTCTTTGGAATATTTAGACTTTAAAGCCTCTTTAAAAGTCCTAGGTTCATTGCATTCAAGGGATTCAAATATGTTAAAGGCAAACTCAGATATATCACAATTAATCAAATTGCAATCCCTATATCTTTCTGGTTTCCTAATAACCCTTCTATCTCTATCCCTAGCAAGTTGATAGTCATGCAAATCATCATTTTCAGAAAAATCATTCTCATCATGAATATCATGCTCCACCTCATTCGAAGTACTCTCACCTTGATTTTCAAGAACATTTTCATGCAAATCATTTTTAGCAGAAAATTCAGATTGAAATTTAACAGGCACTTGCTCCACCTCATTAGGAGCATCATTATGAGGAACATGCACAGGTAAAGTCAAACAAGGAAATTCATTTTCATTAAAAATGACATCTCTACTTATAACTACTTTAAACCCTGGTTCACTCCTATCCCAAAGCCTATAACCCTTTACCCCTTCTGGGTACCCTAAGAAAACACACTTCTTAGATCTAGGTTCCAGTTTATCAATCTTTTGATGCACATAACCCGCACATCCAAACACTCTTAAGTTCGTCAAATCAAGCTTCTTGCCCGTGAAAACAGATTCTGGGCACTTCCCTCCTAAGGGGACAGACGGGGACCTATTAATTAAATAAGCAGCGGTATTAAGCGTTTCCCCCCAAAATTTCTTAGAGAGCCCAGATGTGGCCAACATGGCCCGCACCCTCTCTAAGAGAGATCTATTCATCCTTTCAGCAACCCCATTCTGTTGGGGTGTGTAAGGAACAGATTTATGTCTTTTTATACCCCAAGTAGCACACAAATCATTCATTTGTTTATTACAAAACTCAAGTCCATTGTCTGTCCTAAGGGCTTTAATTTTCTTTCCTGTTTGGTTTTCTATCATGATTTTCCAGTTTTTAAATTTTTCAAAAACTTCAGATTTTTGTTTCATGAGCAAAACCCAAACTTTCCTAGAATAATCATCAATAATGGAAAGAAAATATTGATTCCCTCCTTGCGTAGGAACACTAGAGGGACCCCACACATCAGCATGCAAATACTCAAGTATGTCAACACACTTAGATTGATTAGGAAAAGTAGAAATAGGGAAGCTAACCCTATGTTGTTTTCCTAACACGCATGATTCACAAAATTCAATAGGGGATAATTTATCACTACCAAAGTGACCATTTTTATGCAAAATATCTAATCCCTTATTACTCATGTGACCTAATCTATTATGCCATAAAATAGATTTATCACCTATCACAGAGTACACATAATCAGGTACAGGTTCAGCTTGACACACATACAAGTTATTTTTCTTTTCAGCAGTAAAAATAACAAGAGATCCTTTCATGATTTTCATAACCCCTTTCCCCCATTTTCCCTCAAAACCTTCATTTTCAAGGGATGCACATGAAAGCAAATTATAACGTAAATCAGGAACATGCCTAACATCTTTCAAAGTGAACACAGAGCCAGAAGAAAATCTAAGGCATACATCACCAGTTCCTAAAACGTTGCATTTCTTTTCATTAGCCATAGACACATAGCCATTTTCAATTTTCTTATAATTTGAAAAAAGATTTTCAAAGGGAGTCATATGAAAAGTACAACCGGAATCAACTAACCAATCAGATTCACATAGGGAATTAGAAAGCACAGAATTAACACATGCATGATCACAAAGATTATTAACCATAAAAATATCACCCAA